GTCTCGCGCCGGGTGGAAATGTGGTGCTCTTGGGCGACGGGGAATCTTCATCGTCGGATGAGATTTCGCCCTTGTCATCGCGGACCTCAATCTGCAGATCGTCTCTGATGTATCTCGGGCGGCGAATCGCGCGCCTATGCGTTCACTTAGTCTCGCCATCACTTATTCTGCCTTTCAGAATTGATAACCTACCTCCTGAGAGTGCCCATAGGAGAGACCATTTTGAGTTTGGTAATGAGTAAACAGTTAGGTTGGTACGTTGATTGTTGGTCAAGTGCTAATAAATCCGAGTCTACGGTCGAGGGAAAAGTCACAAAAGTATGAAACTAGGTCGTCGAGACACAGATTTGATGAAGCAGCGCAGCTGAGAGGGAGACCGAATGGAAAAGAAAAGGGCACTGCCCGCGAAGAGAAGGTAGAGAAGGTGAAGAAGGCGACGAAGAGAAACTTGCAGATTCAAGAAAGAAGTTTCAAGTCATCTTGGCCTTGAATCGAAAGGAGGGGGAAAGAGTGACGTTCCCAGAGTTGTTGGTAGCCGAACGACGTGAAGGGTTAACGTACAGAAGAACCTCCAAGAGGGCTTCGAAAGGAAGAAACAGGGACGTCTTTACTTTTTGGTCTCGTCTTTTCCATCCACCCTTGCAACGTTGCCAGCTCCTCTGGGCCTGTCTAGAGCCCGTGCAGCCGCTGTCTTGTCCATGTCATTGCGTCAGGAAGCGCTGTTGCTGCGAACACCCACACCACCCATTCACTGTGCCATCCCTGGTTTTGGGGGGCAGTGTGGCAGTCTGGCAGAGAGAAGTTGGGATTGTTTGCCTTTCCTCTGCTCCTCTCCGTGTGGGTTGAGGTTACTTGGCGGAGGAGACTGGAGGAGCAGCCCGCAACCTTTCCAAACCTTGCCTGTCGCCAAGAGACGAACAATGCGGACAAGTGCAACCGAGGAGGCAGCACGAGGCAAGAAGAGGCGAGTAATGGAACACTGGCGCCGATGTTTCTCAGTTTCAGAGTTGTCTGCCAAGAGGTCCGAAAACGACTTCGTGCGACAAACCCTCCGCCCTTGCCCTTGCTCTCCCTACAACCTCAAGCCACTTGCGTGCCATCCAGCTTTGCTACCCTACCATTTCTCGCATTCCTCAGCCAAGGGTTCAGGGTTCTAGGGGGGCCCGGTCCCCGTCTCTCCCGCCAAGATGTCCCGCTGTCTGCCGTCTTTCCGGCCCCCGATTCGCCAGCTTCCACTCAAAGTCTCCAGCGGCTTCGAAGCCGATGTGGGCGGCCCGGCCGGGACCATTTCCTCGATTCCTTTTAGTCTCCCATTGTCCTCCTCCCCGATTGAGGCTGGAAGGAGGCTCAGTTCTCCTCTCATCAGTCTGCTAGAGGCTTGTGTCTTCGACGTGACCAGGGGTGATGTTTAGTCAACATTCAACATCGACATGGTTCCTTCGCCAAAGGTGAGAACCGCACCGTTTCAGAATGTCTTTCGTCCCCGCCCACGCCGTGGCCGCCAGTGCCTGAAAGATTAGATCGGCCGTCCCGGGTTGAGCTTTTCTTGGTGACGGAGGATTGCACGTCAAACGGCCCCTTTTACCCTCAAGATCCGCCAATCAATCTCGCAAGCCTGCTCCTTCAAGTCCATTTGAAGTCTTTCAGACTGGCACGGTGAAAGAAAATCCTCCGCATTTCGATCGTCAGCGAGTCACGTTTCCAGGGTGTGCTGGTTTGACTTGAGGGCGCAAAAGCCAGTTCGGGAAACCTAAGTTCCTACCCAGGGAGAGTGATGAAAAGGTTGAACTCTTCCAGCCAAGAAGACCAACCTGCAAAAGCCAAGTTAATTTGACAAATTGATGCGCGAATGCACAAAAGACTGAAGAAGAGAGCTCCTCTCGAAGCTGGGGCGAAAGCTCAAACCAACCTTTAATCAACCGAAATTCCACAGACCATTGGCTCCCCCGTTCAATTTAGTTCGAACGAACGAACTCACCCCCAGAACTCTGCTCTGCTTTTGTCAAACCTTCCGATGTCTGCTTCCTTTTCGTTGACACCTTACGGTTGAGCTTCAATTGTTGATGATCAAGAAGGATGATTCATCCTTTCTGCCGTTTGTCGATCGTGTTCGTTTGCGCATTCTCGAACAGCGCCACCCGCTGCACAACGCAAGCGCGCATTAGCCAGCCCGGGGATCAGCAGTTTGAACTACGAGCGATCCCCCTTCTGCTGGTGGCCGCGTTGCACCATTGAAGGAAAGGGAACGGAGGATTAATAACCATAAGGCTCTCGCCCCTGAATGAGGTTCCTGCCGGTTCTCTTTACGCGTTGCACTGGCTTCATCTACTCGATTCCGCTAGCATTGCTTGACGTCGTCCGGAGTGTCCTTCCACGGGGAGATAGACAGCTTTTCATGAACTTGAGACGGTGGTGGGCAAATGACCCCGTCAAGCTCGAAAGCTTGGCCTTTCCCGATTGTGCAGCGCTTGAAAGGGGCGCGGCAGAGAGTGGGCTCCGTTTAATCTACAGGTGAGGCAACCTTAAATGCCTACCCCGAGTCAATCCCACCGGATATCGTGCTCGTAATACTGGGCCCTGCGGACTTGTAGGGGACGGTTAGCGCTCGGGCGATGCAATTTCCAGTATGGTCGGCCGGTCACTTCATCTCGCCATCTAAGCTTAAAAGCCTGTTGATATTGATCAACAGACTTTCGACTAGGAGTCGCGCGCCCACATACCGGATCGTCGTGAAGCCGGCAAGTAGATGCCAGAATGGTAGAGTACGCATCATTCGATGCTCTTGATCCGCAAGACTTTTCAACACTGTCGCAAACCAGATGGCCGTCGCAGCATGTTCCGTCGAGCTACGCAAACGCAGCGGGCTTTATGATTCGAAGTTTTTGTCCTCATAGCTACTTTAGTATTCACGACAACGTGGTCAATGGGCCATCCCCTTTATGATCTCACCTAGAAGAAAATTTTGGTCTAGCCCGGACAGCAGCTTATTTCTAGTTGTTTATCGAATGTAATGTGCCAGTGGCCGATCCGTGGGATAGCCCACATGGATCGATCTCCATTTATCGACTCCAAGATGTCAATAGCCTACATGCAACTACATCTAATGAAATGCTACTACCATGAAATGCACGTGAAGAGGTCACAAGCAGCAACCCGGGCTGACTGTGTCAGCCAGAACCCGCCAGATCATGCGTCCAAACTCCAGATGGTCCATACCAAATGTCGTAATGGTGTGACCACGAGTACCTGACTGATATCGTGTGTATGGTAGCTGAAGCAATATGTTCAAGTAGGCTGCCGGACAGTGTGGTGTTGTCGACAGGTGATTCGTCAATAGCAAGTCCAGTCTCACTTGCATTCAGCCTGTTCTATATTGTTGAAACAGGCTAGGGAGTAGTGGCTTTGTGGGTGCCAAGTATGACAGTTTCTCCTGCAGAGAGAAGTTCCCAATTTACTTCTTCGGAGTGTGAAGAAGTTATTTGATCGAAGAAAAAGGTAAGGTGTCCAGGACTCGCAGATTGATGGCCAAGAGATGTTTCAACTTCCAACTGACACTCCCGATATATCTCCCAAGCAACTCTCACTTATATTTCAACAGAGCCTCAAGAATCCAGTTGTGCTAAAAGGTGCCTCTCGCAAACTGAGATTCTCAATTAAGTTCTCGTATACCATAACTAGAAACAGGAGCACTGCTCTCGCGAACGATGAGTCTTCAACCAGCCGTACTCAAAATCCCCACTGGCGTGCGCCATTCTTGATGGTCGGGTCTGCGATACTCACCGAGACACATGAGCTCCACGAGTCTAAGAACAAAGCATCTTCTACTGAAGCAATCACAGGAACGGTGAAGAACGCCACCTACGATTAGTTCATTGCAATCTATGGGCCTACCAAAGAAACCTTTAACCATGGTTCACTTCTGAAAGTCCTGCCAGAGTTGTTTCAGAACGCCACCATTTCCATGGCCAGCATACCTTCTCTTCGGTCATGACTACTCTTCACTATTGCCATCGTTGCTTTACTGCGGTGCTAACTGGACATGCAACGAATAAGATTCTTCCAATCCCAGCAGCCCTACAGAAGTTCTAGTGACTTCTGTCTATAGAATGATTTCTACATCTACGAGCCCAAAAAGCTCTGGCTACCAGATGGACTTACCATTGGTGCGACAGCAATTACGGCAGTGACGGGACTCTGGTCTTCCTACGTTTGGAGCCTCTTTTACCTCTAACCTTTCGACGATACTGCGGGTGACGATAAATGCTGATTTGAAGACTGAGATTACTGAACCAGGATTGCGGGACAAAGTCCGCTGCCGAAAGAGTTAAGTTGAGCGACGGTCGGGTTATGCCGAAAGACGAAAGTTGATCACAAGGGTACAAGCGCTTACAATCTCGTAGAGAAAGGTCTAGATGGCAATGCGAGAGCCATCAGGTGCGTTGAAGAGATATCGGCCTGAGAGATTCAGATAGGGCAATGTTGCAGCTCGAAGATGGAGATGGCACAGACTGATCAACTAATAGATATTGGGGGATTTGAGAAAAAGGGGCTACGGAAGGCATCACGTTAGTGCTTGGGTTCTACTTAGGGGAATCGTCCATCACTTGGCGTTCCCACGTAGTATGCATGAAGAGGATGCAGAGCTTAGGTATACGAATGTTTGCGGCTACCTCATGGAATGTAGCACAAGTCCCAATGAGCTTCCACAAGATTATGACATCACTCAGAGTATCATGGACTAAGATTCATCGGGACGAAAAAACGTGAGCCAGTATTCTACATGTCCAAGTGGTCACTGCGCTTGTCTTGTAGCATGAAACTGCTGCACCATGCTGTTGACATCGTGCATAGATAAAGATTAAGGGGTACTTGAGGCTCTATAGATATAATTGATATGAAGTCATTACACTCAGGATACGATCTTGTCTGCAACTGCATAGCATAACTGCATGAATTGTGAACAACATTATGACTGAGACTAACGGTGTCTATGTGTACATCTAAGTGGTCTTCGATGCTGTGAGAATATCTAAAACAACCCGTAGTTGAGTCATCGATACAGGCTCCTTTGCTTTACGTGCCATGAGTATGCCTGACTTGAGAGCATTCTTAATCTCCCTTCCATTGACATCAACCTCTGCCAATGACTGGAAGTCAGCTTCGATAAGACCGTGCTTAATCTTGTTCTCCTTCAGCAGATTCTCCCAAAGGCTCTTGCGGGCCTCGATAGTCAGCCCGGGAAGCCTGATGTTGATGTGAATGCGCGACTTGATTGCCTCGTCAATAACTGCAGCGCGATTTGTGGTAATGATCAGAGTGCCTGCGTAGTATTCTAGAAGTTGAAGGAAGACTTGGACAATGTTAGCTCTCAAAGTGCGGTCTTTGTAGAGTCCACTAGTGGTTCCAGAGCAACTTACTGGAGACCAATCTATTGCGGTGAAGATCAGATGTCGTCCGCTTCTCAAGAAAGACATCGCCCTCGTCGAGTAGCAGTACAGCGTCCCACTTAGACGCGATGTCTAACACTAGCTTCAGCCTTGCCTCAAGCTCTTCGGCATCGAATCCCAGTTGGCCAGCGCTGACTGCGTATAGAGGAGCGCGCATCTTTTCGGCCACTGGAGAGACTGTCAGCTGAATCGCGTTATGCCAAACAACATGGGGGTTCAGGAAACCTACCGACTTCGGCTGTCAGTGTCTTGCCAACACCTGTGTCGCCACTGAGGAGGAGAACCAAGCCCTGGCCTGGTCATAATTAGCCTACGTCCTTCATTCTTCACCCATATGAATACTTGTCGTACCCTTCTGCTCGATGAAATCATCAAAGCCATCTTCAGCGAGCATCTGCTCCTCAACCAGAGATAGCAAGAGATCTTTGTACCCATTGGGGAGGATGAGGTTCGATGCGCAGGTGTCGTTCCATTCAATTTCGCCGACATCATCGACAGTGAACTTGGCTACAAAGTCTTGTCAATTCAAAACTCCTTTTGCAAAGTTGGCAAGCGATACTCACCCCAAGCCTTTGATTTCAAGGAGTACCCCCGAACTGTACTTCCGCACAACAAAAACTCGCTATCCCTGACTAGTTTGAAAGATCTTGCAAATGAAGTCACGTCATTTTGGTCTGAACTCAAGGGTCTCAGAAACACGGCCTTAGCAGGGTTGTTATCGTCGAATGTCTCGGGGTCAATGATAATACGCCCGGTTGACTGCCGAATGTCTTAGCAACGAGTAAGGTGGGAAAAGAGATCAGGGCGGGCGACTAGCATACCTTTCTTGGCAGCCAAGCGTCTTTGCGCCCAATGTGCCACTCTTGACCGTTGCACTTCTTGTGATGGAAGCCAGAGAGCTCTGCAAAGCGCCTTCCTCGACGAACCAGAATTTCCTTGATCCCCTCTGCCTCTGGGTTGTACTTGAGAGGGCTGACAGGTAAGCTCGCGATTGATGCTGCGTCCTTGAAGCCAGGTATTTCCAAGCATGTGCCTGCAAGTCCAAAAGTCTTGCCATCCGTGTCGATGAAGTCACATTTGAGCCGGTAACCCTCTTTCGAGTATGCACCATTGAGAGCTCTCACAGCAACAGCCTGTCCCAAATCGTCTACGGCGAGACAGATCTCGCCACGAGGAAAGATTGTCCAGAGAAGGGGATATGTGATCAAGCTATTAGACAGGAGGTCGTTCACCTCGTCGAAGAAGTCGCCTAGTTCTGTGGACAAGACTTCGTAAAGCAACTTGAAATGCTGCAAATCATCCTTGTCTTCTGACTTCTTAAACATTTCTGTCATCGCCGCCCATTGGTGAAAGACGTTCTCAAAAGGCCGCTCAAGAACGAAATCCCTAGAAGTGATGGCGGAACCAGTGCCGCGGAGGACGTCTCGCAAAGTATCCTTCAATTGCTCGCTGTGCACCAAGATGGAATGCAATGAAAGCGACTTTTCCTTTTCATGGTCTCGGTTGCGGCGAACTGTGATGACTGTGCCGGTCGCAGCCTCCTTCTTGTTCTCTGGTTCTTCTTCAACCCAGTTGATGCAGCAGTTGCATTCCTTCTTGCCTTCATAAAGATTTTGGACGGCTTTCTTGCTGGGCTCATCGTCTTCGCCGGAATTGGAGTCCCTATCAGAGTCATCGTCGGTGTCTTGTTGGGCGGAGGGGTCAGACTTTGGAACGTTCTCTGAGCTGGATTCTGACTCTCGTTTCTCAACTGCTGTTCCGAGCTTGTTGGTTGTCTGTCCGGTGCTCAGAAGCGGCTCGCCGCCTGGAGGCTTGAGTTCTGCCATGATATCCTCTAAAGTTACTCAAGCAAATTTATGTGTTGTCAGTTCTTGCGTTTGGAAAAATGAAAAGAGCAAGAATTTGCTGGTAGAAAATGCCCTTTTTCAGCAATCTCTTTGCAGTCTTTCCGATTCATTCGAGATCAGGCTGCCTTACGCGCCTATGATGGCGACCTGAGATTGATGCCGCCAGCTGCTTACTCTGCATAGATACGGGGACTGGGCCACTGTCAATCATCGCCGCGGCAGAAAACAGAGATCTTTCCCCTTTTGCTTGAACTTCATTGGCTTACTTTTGGTCATTTCGTGAATGTGGCGGCAGCTTGCAGTAGTGTGTTTTCGTCACAAGCAGCCATTCGCTTCTGATCATGCGACAGAATGCATGTCAGACGTGGCAAGGCAGACAGTTGAGTACTCAGCCACAGGCTTGCCTGTACAAACTGGTTTTCTTTGGAAGATTGCAAATCTCGCCTACAGCTGTCTAAGATGAGTTTCTGGGCTCCTGATACTCGTACCGACACGAGACACTTAGTATCTGTCCACATGTAAGCTCCCCCGTCTGGCTTCCTGTTCACCTCATTTCCAATCTTTAGCATCTCTTGACTAATTTTGTAGTGATCCCGCATCTCAAGTAGCCATATATTGAGGTTGGAACTTTGTCATTTCATATTGGCTCATCATGTCACTTTCAGCGAATGTCGCCGCCGATAGTCTTCCGTTCTTGCAGTATGCGCCGCTTAACTGCGAGAGATCAATCCGCATTGTCATTTTGAGTCCATCAATCGAGTTGGACGACCTAATTCAATGCGCTTTGAGAGAGGTACGACTAGGAAGCTCATCGCAGGAGACAACACCATACGAAGCGCTCTCGTACGTCTGGGGCGGGAGACGTGGCGAGCACCCGATACGGTGCAACGGTTGCCGTGTTGACGTCACGAAGAACTGTTTAGAGGCTTTGCGTCATTTGCGGTATTCCGATCGAGAACGTTTGCTCTGGATTGATGCAATCTGTATCGACCAGTCCAGTATTCCGGAGAAAAACGTCCAGGTGGCTTTGATGGGAGATGTGTACAGATTCGCCGCGCGCACAGTTGTTTGGATTGGTACAGATGAGTCACCCGGTAACTTACTGCTCTCATTGTTTCGACGATGTAGATGGGTGGGACTCTTGCTGAGAGCTTCGTCGGAGGCAAAGCGCTCGACACCGCGACGTGAGTTATACTTCTTACGCACGACCTTGCGGAACCAGCCGTGAAGGCCGCAATTGCCGTGCTTGTTCTTGGAGCTGAGACTTATACGAACGCAGTTCCAAGCAGAAACGTCTTAAAAGCCATCGAGCTTCTGATCAAGGTCCCTTGGTTTACAAGGACATGGACGCTGCAAGAACTATGCTTATCTGAGCATGTGGTTGTCACGCTAGGAAAATCTTCCCTTTCTTGGGAATCTCTGAATGCGTGTCTAAAGCACTGGATTACTCTCGCGGGTCGCAAGTTTGGCCACCGAACAAACGAGTTTGATTTAGTCAATCTCGCAGACAGCTTCGGGATGAAAATGAATTATCGCTCAGTCTTACTCGGAGAGAAGCAGGAAAACTCGAATATCCCAAAGCTGACCTCTGCATATCTCGCAACCCGGTTGATAAAGACGATCAGAAGGAGAAATGCAATGGACAAACGCGACCAGAGCTTTTCACTCTATAACCTTCTCGGAAGGCTCGGTATCAGCGTGCCGAATCCGGATTACACGAAACCCGTCACTAGAGTATATGAGGACCTCGCATTGGCTCTCTGCCTTCATTCGGGTTCATTTTGGGTTTTGCATATGGGGTCTAGCGAAGACAAAGTAGACGGACTGCCATCATGGGTTCCAGACTTCAGCCAATTCAGCCCTGGAGGTTTTAAAGATCAGTGGGACCTGCTTTCGAATCCTCCACCGATCATCGCTGAAGAGGTTTCGGCAATTGGCCTCTTACAAAGCGGACGCAACACCGGACAATTATTAATCAGGGCTCGACGCCTGCCGCCTGTGACAATGATTAGCGGATCCCATGTACCAAACGCACGATACCTTTCAACGACGGTGAATTATGGCGAAGATATCAAAGATCTAGTTTTACCCGCAGTAGCTCAATGGTTTCTCTTTGCTGAGAGCCTAGAATTCTTTCCGTCTCGAAGACGTGGTGCCGAAGCCTTACTTGCTCTCATCGCGAGTCTAGCAACCGAAAAGACAAGCGACGATGAATTCAAACCCAAGGCGGATATCACACAGACTTGGTGGGCAAACTTCTACAAGGGGCTCATGATGGGTTTCACTGCCGAAGGACAACGGTCGACAAAAAAACTAGTCAAATCCGCTTCTCGGCGTGGACGATGCGTGAGCGCGCATGGAGGCTGCGAGAGACCCAATGCACAGTCCATTGGCTGGTCAATGATGAACGAGAATATGACAGACATTGACACCACGTCTAGAGTCCTGCTGGCTTGTCAGGGCCTGAGCCTTTGCCTGGTTGGCCAGGGCATGCTGGCAGTGTGCGACGGCCCAGTCCAAACCGGTGACGTGCCGGTGTTCGGGGCCGGGTTAATGGAAGAGCTGATTCTCCGACCACGAGGCGAGGAGTTCGAAGTGGTCGGAACTGCTCGTATCCTGAACTTCGAGGATGACGAAATCCCAAAGCCGTTTTCTGGGTTGGACGATGACAGGTTGGAGACTTTGACTTTAGTCTAGGGGACCGCTGTCAACTAAGCCCTGCTTCCCCCCTTCCCTGCCATGGGTTGATCATTTCACGGATCGGAATTAGACCATATAAATGCCCTGCTAAAGGAAACAAAGCCTGTGCGAGTTGTGAAACGAAAACGAGAAAGAGTTGAGACGGTCTGGGTAGAGTCAAGGTTGTATCAACATTGAATCGGGAAACTCATTCGATGACATGATATGGGGGAGTCCGAGCTGATAATGCCTGACTCGGCGATATCCCCTCACGTCACATTCGTGGTCTAACTGTTCTATACCTCGATATTACCAAGGGAATCCAACATGACGGAGAATGCATGGACGTAGGAACATTAGGTAGAATGTCAGGTCGTCAAGGGCTGCAGCCAAGCACCTAGTGACCGTTGCATTATTGAGTCGGCGGTATGGATGCAATGTCGTCTTGAAAACCGAGCCGGTGGGAGTAAGAAGATAACATATCCAGCATATCCAACTCAAGTGGTCTGAATCGTCTGGACTTTCGGTACCTGAAACTAGAACTCGAACTAAGTTGCTTCTTTAGGGAACCGATATGAAATGCATGTGGCTCGCATTACCAAATCGCGCAGCTCGCCGGCCATCACAACGCCGTACCCATGGCTTCATCTTGCACAACCTCCTACAACCTTGGCCCCAGACTGTTGATAGGAGACAGCCTGCAGGAAATAACCCTCCACTCACATCACGGGTGTCACTGCTCCCACACCGAAAGTCAAGACCGTCTCAACTTTGCCTCATGAAAGAGCCGGCAATCCCAAATTTCAGGCTAGGCTTATTGGTGACATCGGGACCTGCGGCAGCCAAGTCGCTTTAGGATGGGCCTGGCCCTGCCATCACCTCCCTCTCACTCGCGTTATATGGACGTCGTAGTCGTGTCCAAACTTCATTCACAGACTCCTTGCCCACCTACTATCCGTCAACTCATAATCCAAACCCACCGAGCTGGAACGATCTGAAGTTCCTCCTCGTTTGTCTTCTCCCCACCACACTCTCTTTAATCTAAAAGGAAGCAGAACTTCAATCCTTTTCGTCTAAGGAGACAGGCTTCCGGCAGGCTCACGATGTTACTACGTTCTATGTTGTCCTTTACCTTTGCTGCGGTTACAGTTCTCGCCGCTCCTGTCTCTATACAACATGCCAAGTACAGGCGCGACCTGGCAACGATTCAAGCTGCTCTAAACACTATCAACTCAGCACTTCAAAGTCTTGATAACTCCGTGAAGGCCACGAACACGGTCACCCTCGGTGGCGGAATCCAGCTTTTGAACGCCGTCGGCAACGTGAAGAGTTCCATCGAAGACGCCACCACTCAGGTCCAGGGATCCGAAGTCCTCAACAAAAAGGATGCGCTCAACCTCAAGGCTGCCACGGACGCTCTCACAAACAACGTCAAGGTCACCATCAACGACGTTGTAGCGAAGAAGTCTCTGGTTGACTCTCTGGGCGCAACACCGCTGGTGGCTGTTGCTCTTCAGGATCAAAAGTCTGCTAGTGTCGCCCTTGCCCAAGCTCTCGTCAGCAAGGTCCCTCCCGAACTCAATGGTGATGCGCAAAAGAGCGCAACGGCTCTCAGCACCGTTCTGGACCAAGGCATTGGCGTCTTTGGTGGCACTTCTGTCGCGCCTCTTCCCGCCGCACCCCCTCCAGGTCCACCGGCCGCCCCTCCCGGTGCCACGACTGTTTGCCAAGCCGTTATGCCGGATGGGACTGCCGTTGGGCTAGCGACTGCTATCGAAAATCCCCTACCCCCTCCTGCTGCTGCCCCGGAGGCTCCAGCAGAAGCTCCGGCGGCGGGACCAGGTGGTGGAGGAGGACTCTTAGGTGGACTAATGGGATTGCTCGGCCTTAGGAAGCATTAAAGCAAGGATAGGAATGTGTACGATCAAGCAGGAGTTTGGACATGGGCGCGGTGATGTATTGCGGCAGGGTCCGTCACGAACATGCTAAGCGGTCGTCATATGAAAATTGGAGAATCTCTCTCGAAATTAATATACCTTGAACTTCAGAGAGACAAATTTCGTTCAATCGGTTCTGTAGAGCGCTCGCTCAATGTTCTCTCTCACCAATCTACTCTTACGTGTGGTACTGGCCGTTGCATCTCCAGTGTACAACACGTAGGCTATGTGGCAAAGATGGGGCAAGATCAACAGTAGAGACATTTAAAACACATCATAGGATTCAGTAACTCTAAACATTTCCGTCCATCCGGTAGGGATTCACGGAAAGATTTGCCTTGCGCACAACAACATGAAGATTTATACACTAACTTGTATTACTATATACAATAATTGGCAAATATATATTGGAACTCCATTATGCTGTCATTCCAGCAACCAAGTTGATCCCGCTAGTATCCTTTCCTGTTTCCCACTACATGTACTGTCTAGATTCATACTCATAAGCCCTCTACTTCAGGGGGTTTCCCTCCCTCTCCTGTGCTGTAAACTTTTGTACTGATGACCGTCGAGCAAGAGGCCGTCCCTCGTAAGGGCCGAGACCTTCCCGATCAAGACTCAGCGGGATCTCTCCAGACGTCGCCTGACTTTCTGGTCGCAAAGGTGTCCTCGCATCCTCTGGATCCGTGTATCTGCTGAACCGCGACTGAATGAACAGCGGCTGTGCTACACCGTAATGACTGACTGGTGGTGTTTGGAAAGGATTGTCTCTGAACTCGGGCTGACCGACTTCGACCTCGTTCAAATACGGCGCGGCAGCAGACCTGCGCACTGACATCATCCGAGAGATGCCACCGCCAGCAGACCTCATGGAGCCACGCATGGACCTGACAGACCCACGGATCGATCTGACACGGCTGTATGCTTCTGGTCTGGGCGGTAGTACGACAGGCTTCTCGCCGTTCATACGTCTTGTGCTGAAGGCGACAATGGTGCGGCCAGAGCCATCTCTGCCCAGGCCGGAAGAGTCGACAACTTCATACGGGTGGCCTAGTCCGGCTAGCTCATCTTCGATTTCTTCTCTGGTGAGGAGTGCAGCCTCGTAGTCTTCTTCACCAGGCTTCGGCTTCCTGGAGTAGTCTCCCGGGCCCTTCGATCCATTGGGGACGTGGAACAAGAGATCGATGCGGACAACTGCATAGAAAACCACAACAAAAATCTCCAACATGAAACCGGTGGTGTAAAACACTTCTTTGCTGAAGAGTTTGTTTGGTGTATTGGGTGGCTCGGCCATCAGAGTCGCCGCAAGACGCACCGCGTGACCACCAATTAGCAGGATGGCGCCAATGAAGAGGACGGCAATTTTCTGGTGAGTATCACCTTGCCCGAATCTCTCGGGTCTAGGTCCAGGAATCACTGCTGCGATGATGACGATGATGAGTGGCAGGACCGCGAGAAGCATGATCCACGAGACACCAGCTTTGAGGACATTGAGTGCGGTGTCGACACGGTCTTGGTCCTCAATCTTGAAGAATGAGACACCAATTGACGTACTGTTCGAGACAACCACGGCCGGGACCGAGAAAAGGAAGAAAAGGATGAAGACCCGGAAGGCGGGATGCCATCCAAAGTGAGGATGGATTGACCGAACAATTCTTTGAGCAAAGAAGATATTGACCACCATCACCACGACAGCTCTATAACGAAGTTAGTAACAGTACTTTGGGTGTGGATATCCGACGAAAGACCTACCCTCCGAACTGGACGATTAGTGCGACGAGAATCACAACTCGGCCCTTCTCAAAAGCCCAGACAATTCTCATAATACAAGTGACAGTTCTGACCATGCAGAAATCGAACATGAGATCAGATAGCAGGAACTTGTGACCGCGTTTGGCATTGGCGCGGTAGATCCTGATGTGCGTGTACGCACCAGCCGCGAAGAGCAGCAGGAAGAGGAAAGTGACCGGTACATCGATGTTAGTCGTGGGGTCGCCGCCGATGAAAGCGCCTTGAGCGGGATCAACGAGTCTCTCGGTTGGAGGCTGGGCTGACCCTGCTCCTTGCGGAGGAGGCTGCTGTACTGCAGCGCCAGTCGTGCTGGCCGGAAGAGCGATCGGCATCGATGTCGTTGTCCTTACTTGGTTTGTCGTTGTCGGTGCTGGGGGCGGAGAAAATACTGGGGGTGCTACCGTAGTAGAAGGAGCTTGCGATGTCGTTGATGTCGTTTGTGGCGGCGGCGGGGGAGGTGTTGCCACGGACGAAGATATTATTACAGTTGTTGGCGCCGGGGTCGATATCGATGTAGACGTCGTCGTTGGCGGTGGAGGTGGAGGCGGCGGCGTAGTAGTCGACGTTGTCGATGTTGAGGTTGGCGGGGGAGGCGGCGGTGGAGGGGGTGGAGGAGGTGGAGTTGTTGCAACGGCCGCTGTTGTCGATGTTGGATCAGCTTGTTGCTGTCCAGTTGGGAGCTCCGCGATGAAAGAAGTTGCATCAGCAAGCTGCCTCTCTTCTAATTGAACTGGGTGCAGAGGCCCAAGTGGAAGACCTGCTGCTGCAGCAGCTGCCGCTATCGTAGCGGCTTTAAGAAGCCACATGTTGGTGCGTGAGATGATTGAGGGCCTCGTATGCCTCTCAAGGGTTCTCTCAGATGCGATGAGAATGAGTTTTAAGCCATGCCAGCATGTGGTATCGTAGGAGAGTATGTCAGATGCCTTGATGGCCGATCTCGAAAAGGAATCAAGAATCAAAAGAACGCTAGCACATGGAGAGTAAAAGACAGACTTGTCACCTTACACCACCTCAAGATATGAGGTTGACAACTGCCTGTTGAAGGGGAGGGGCGGAGGCTTAAACAGAGCAAGGATTTGGTGCAACCCAGGCCCCGGTCGGAAAAGTCGGCTGGGAACATTGACGACTTGATTACCCTGAAAGGTGGTGTGCGGTCCTTCCAAGGAGGCTTGCTGTCTGGTCATCCCGGAAACAGAACATAGCCGTGTCAAGATCCTCTTCGTGGCGTGCGTCACTCGGATCTGTGTGCAAGTTGATAGAGTTAGAGAAGGGGTTTCAGCGACAGGGTCT